TGAATTAAAATCATATGGAGGGAATATTGAATATTTGATTTCTTCTTCCAAAATTAAAATTAATAATATTTTAAAATATATTATTATATTTTTCAGTGAAAAAAATATTATGAGAAATATTTAAGATAATTTAATATTTTTAATTTATAATTGTATTACTTATATTTTTATTTAAATATAATTTTAATATATTTATTATGTTATGGATTGATTTCGGTTCAACCCGACTTTTGATCCAGTGACCCATTCACTTGATCCCTTTTTCGATTCATTTACCGATCCAGTTTTTAAAACATTTGTGGGTGTTTAGGAAATTTCTATTTTAGTGGGCTATTTTAGTTTTTGACTATTTTAGCCTCCGTTTGGGAAGTGGATTGACTTTTTGGCTTTTTAGCTATTTTAGCCTGGGGCTAAAAAGCCTGGTTTGGGAAGGACTTTTTGGCTTTTTGACTTTTTTGACTTTTTTTGTGAGAGATGAGTGTAATGATTATGGGTTGGATTTGATGTTTTATTTTTTGTGGCTAAAATAGCATATTTTATTTTTTGTGGCTATTTTAGTCCCTAACCCACCAAAACCAACTTCCCAAACTATGCCTTAGTAGACTAAAATTTTTGTATTTTGGAAGATGATTGAATTTTTTTATAGTTGGATGTGATATTTGTAAGAGAAAAAGTGAAATGATTATGAGTTTGATGTGACATTTTGTCTTATTAGTTATTTTAGCTTATTTTTATCTTTTTGTGAATTTTAGTCAAAAAATAGCACAAACCCACTTGCCAAACAAGGCTGTTGTATTATATCCAAAATTTATAAAAATTTAAACTGCTAAACCGATTCGTATCTATTCGCCAATCCGCTCAATCCGTATCGGTCAATTCGGTGGACGGATACGGATTATTTTTTCTAATTTGCCAATCCGACGAATGGATGACGAATTAAAAGTTCCCCAGTCGCAATCGAATCGCGAACACTCCTAACAGCAGGTTTGTCCTCCATAAAGAACAAACTAAGCACTCGTTTGGGAAGAAGGGTTGGGTTGGATTGGGTTTGGGACTATTTTAGCAACAAAAAAATAAAATAGATTTTTTAGCTCAATAAGACAAAATATGACATCTAACCTATAATCATTTTATTTTTTTTTTCCACAAAAGTCAAAAAGTCTATCTCAAACGAGACTTTTTAACCATAGACTAAAATAATTAAAAAATTAAAAATTAAAAAGTCAACTCACTTTCCAAATGAACTCTATATATTTTTCTTATTTTTTCCTAACAATCTTAGGGTTGGTTTGGGATGTTCTAAAAAAGTGCACTTTTTGACTTATTGGCTTATATAGGTTGGGTTTGGGTTGGGTTTGATGTGATGTGTTAGAAAGGTGATGTGATTTAAATAAGATGATGTGACTTAAATAGGATAGTGATTTTTTGACTTTTTGTATTATTTAGTAGATGCCAAACTTGGCCTTATTAGATTCTAGCATGAAAGCTCATGTGCAAAGCAGTGATGTGCCTTATCATTCACGAGATGTCAGATATGGTGGTTTTACTGAGTATTCCTTGCTTCCTGGTCAAAAACCCGAGCAGCATCAAGGAAATTGGTAGAGGGAACCACCACTTCAATCATATCTTCATATTCCCACTCAGTCAAGAGGGCTGATTCCTCGGCCTGTACTGGTACAACAACCTGAAGTAGTGAAACCTAAAGATGGGAATTGCAGACTCTTCGGTATACCACACATCAGTAATCATGTAACCACGGAGCTAGCGCACTCACATAAAACTACTATTGAAACCGATCAAAGGTCTGAACAAATAAAGGGTGTAAACGTGGCGGATCAACCACTTCCTAGTGTTAAGCAAGAAAAACCATCCCAAATGTGTCAACCACTTGTGAGGGATTGCCTTGGGAAAGTCCAGGGTGGTTCAACAAGGAGTTGTACCAAGGTCCGCACGTATTTATTTGCATATATTTGGTTTGTAATGCCATGATCATTCTGGGTACTGTTAAATTAATTTGCTTGAATGAATGTTGTGATGATTACAGGTTCATAAGCGGGGGATTGCTCTCAGTAGGTCTGTGGACCTTACAAAGTTCAGTAACTATGAAGAATTGATTGCTGAGCTAGATCAATTATTCTAATTTAATGGTGAATTGAAGGCACGGAACAAGAATTGTTTGATTGTATTCACTGATGATGAGGGTGATATGATGCTTGTTGGAGATGATCCATGGCCGTAAGGACTCTTTGTGGGTTTTTTTTTCTTCATGTTCACTATGTATTAGCCATGAACTTTGTTGTCAGCTTCTGTTGTTTGTACTTGCATCTTCCATTTATTTGAATCATCCAGATGCATCAATGCAATAACCTCTTAAAGGGAATCATTCCCCGTTTGGTGCTTGCAATTGATTTTTTTTTTTTTGTAGCAAACGTATATATGATTTTATTATAAAAATAATGATTTGCGACAGTAAAAAAATAGTCGCTAATTTTTTTTTTAGGCAAAATAGCCGTTGCAAAAAGTAAGTTAGGCAGTCACAAATAGTTTGCGACTGTTATTTTGCAGTCGCAAAAAGTATGTCACCCCCACATTTGCGACCCTCATTTGCTGTCTCATGGGCCGTTGCAAAAAGTATTTTGCGACCGTTTTTTTATTATTTGCGACGGCTTGTAACGGTCGCAAAAAGTACTGTTTTTTAGTAGTGTTGGTACAATTTTTAGCACAATACACAGCACAACCAAAGGAAATATCTATTTTTCTTTAAATCTAATAATACATAATCACACTGCTGCTTCTTATTTCTTCAATTCAGAGGACTGCTAAAATTCACGACTGACAGAGGAAGAATCTATCTATCCACTAGTCGTTGCAATTTCAGGGGTACTGACATGCTCAACAATGACCACATGATGATAATGTTCCTTGCCCTGACCTCCACGTTTGCTATCACTACAGGAAATATAGATTTTAACGACGTTTATTTAACGGCGTTTTTTAAACGCCACTATTTCTAACATTTAACGACGTTTTATAAACGTCACATTTTATTTTAATTAAAACGGTACCGTTTAAAGAATAGAAGTCATTTTCGAAACGTCTTCAAATGTGTTGCAATGTTATTCCTCCCTCTCTGTCTTAGCTCTGTGAGAATCAGAACCCTTCTCTCTCTCTCACTCTCTCTCTGTGTAAGACCTCATTTTGACTCTGGGAAACCTTCAGTCTCAGATAAACCAATCCCTCAAATCTCTCACTCACTCGATCGCTCGCTCTCTCTCTAAACCCTTCAGTCTCAGAGATTACGATTCAACCTTCTTCAGCTCGGTTTCATCTCAGATCTAATCGCAGAGTGATTTCAATTTCGAAGTTCTCTCTCTCTCTCTCTCTCTCTCTCTCTCTCTCTATTTCGAAGCTCCACCGCCACCACCATCTGCATCGTTGACTAAGGTGAGCACCACAGTCTACAATTTCGTATTCTCTCTCTCTCTCTCAAGCTCTTCCTTCCGTCGATTCTTCTCCTAGGGTTTATGTATGTTTAAGATTTCAGATATGAGATTTCTCATTCAAAAATATGTTTGAGATTTGAGATTTTTTTTATTCAAAAACATATGTTTCAGATCTGAGATTTCTCATTCAAAAATATGTTTGAGATTTGAAATTTCTTATTCAAAAACATTTGTTTCAGATCTGAGATTTCTCATTCAAAAATATATGTTTATGATTTGAAATTTCTCATTCAAAAATATTTGTTTGAGATTTGAAATTTCTCATTCGAAAATATATAATAGTCTTTCTTCATCAAAAATTTTCATTCGAAACAATATCCTTTTAGATATGAGATTTTCATTCGAAAATACATGTTTCAGATCTAAGAGTTTTTATTTGTTTGAGATCTGAAGACTCGTTGGGAATTTTTTTGGGGTATAGTCTCTTCCTGCTTAGGCTTTTGATTGTTGATTTTTGCGGGAATTTGATTACTCAAGCTTTTGCATATACGAATGACATCCTTGATGAGGTCTGCTGCTATGTTTTGGCTTTTTCTTCTTTATTTTTTTGGTGTGTGTTGTCAATTCATGCTATATTGATTGAAAAAGTGTAATAAATTATTGACAATCTATCCTTGAATGTTATTTTTTGGCATTTATGATATCAACTATGTTTTATTCCAAAGAATTAATTATTGACTCTAAAGAACATGTCATCAATTAATAAACTGTGTTCTTATGTGCATGCTTGTCTTGTGCTCTAGATTTCATTGTTAAGATAAATGAAATGTGGGCTCACACTTCTTCTTGCACGTGATTTAGCAAAAGCTTAGTTAATGAAATCTGTTGTACCTCCTTTTGTTAAGCTTGATCTAGATCTAAAGAAATTAGTTTTTGTTTTTTTATTTCCAAGTTTGAAAACTCTCATTGATCACACATTGTCAGATCTGGATATTGGACTAGTGATAAGAGGGAATGGGCTGAACTATCGAGATTGGCCCCTTTATTGATCTTGTAGTTTGGGACAAAATAGGTATAGATTTTGACTTCTACTTTGCTTTTATTTGTGTTCTCTTTACAGTGTTTTTATCTAGATTTTTGTTTTGTTTATATAATTATATTGTATTTTTTTTGCCATTCATGTTTTTCACAGTAATTGCTTTTGTTTTGATTGGAGTACAAAAGTCTTTTGTGAAGGTATGGTGAGTAAGATTGCTGACTTTGAGACTGTTAGGGATATCAAGAGAAGCTTTTCTATGTAAGATTAGCTAATATCATCATAGTTTGGTTTGCTTTTATGGAATTTGTTCATTGCAATATACTTGTTCTGCTTTTACTTATACAAGATTAAATATTGTATATCTAAGAATATATTATGTTACTTTTGCCTCAAATTTCTTTCCCATCACTATATTTAAAATATACATATGATAAATGAACTAGATGAATAATAATGTTAATGGATAATATTGTCAGTTGGAAGCAACTTGGCACTTGTAAATGTTGCCACCAAACATACATTAACATAGAGAAAGCAATTCTTGATTTCAAGGCACTTTCAAATTAAACAATTACCGAACATTAGTTTTTTTGTTGAAATTCCTTTTTGGAAGCCCTCCTTAATGGACTTCCAACTACAAGAAATTGCACCAAGCATGCTCTTAATCAGTAAGTGGACTTCCACTTCTGTCATGTTCATCAATTTGAGTGCTTGAACACCCTAATGCTTTGAACAAGACAAATTTTTGGAATTCAGAACTTTGAATGTGCATTCAAAATTATTTCCCAAATATGTAGTTGAATATTTACCCCCAATGCATGTTGCATTATTTTGGCATATGATCTCATGAATTCTGACAATCTCACATCTAGTTGTTCACCAGCATATGATTTAAGACCAAAAGGCTTTCTATTCTCTACCACACTCCAATTTTTATCTCGTCAGGAATATCTAAGATTGTTTTCTTTTTTCCCTACCTGATACTGATTATGCAAACTGGTTGAAGAAATTTTGTTGCTTTGTTGCAGGAATTATACACTGGTGGTAACAACAGGAAAATTCTAGTTTGGTCTCCAACCAAATTTGTTTCTGATGAACTGGTACATCTTCTACTCAGATGGATACACATACCTCGATTTATGCAAGTGAATATTTTCTTATTTTGTTTGGGTGACCATGCAGGATGAATGGATCAAGAGAGGGAAGGCTTCTGCTCTGGATCAGGATAACTGGAGTGATTGACATTTATTGCTGCCACTGTGTTTCAGATTTCCAGGTCATCTATGAATTTCCATGTTTGTACACAGGATTATTCATCATCAGTTGATAGTGTTGTTTTTTGTTTTTGTTTTTGGGATGCAAACAATAGGTTTAACCAGAGTAGTATGCTATAGCTCTTCCATAAAAGCGATTTTGTTTTGTTTTTTAAGTGGTTATGTTCAGTTACCAAAAGAAATAAATGGTTATATTTGTGAATTTGTATTTAACCAAGAAAATAGTAAACTATTACATAATAAAAACATAATGTTATGTTTATCTGGAAGGGAAGAGAAATGGATCCGCGGCTTTAGATTGCATCAACATATATATTGCAGTACACATTATATATGGGTCCTAAAATTGTTGGGAAAACAGAATCTGATCTTTCTATTAGACCATGATTTTTCAACTTCAATTCATTGCCCTTGTCATTATTAATTCGGTTGCATCACAGGCTCTTAAAGCTTTGAATGGTGAGCATATTTACAACAGTTATGGCATTCTGTTTTGTTGCACATGGGAAAAGAACACATGCCCCATCCCTCTTACCTGTTGCAGGTCATTTGTCTCTCAATTTGGACTGCACCTGCATGTTTATCGCTGGCTTCATAGCATTCACTTTTTTAAAAAATTATTTATTTATTTATTAATATATGGATCACTTATTATTTTCTATCTTTCATTGTAATGCCACGGCTTTGACCAGAATGAATCTCAACTAATGTATGCATTCATTTAATAAGCTAACTGGAAAATTGTGAATAGAGTTGTTTCTCAATGAGTAGAAAAGTTTTTGACTTTGTTAGCCGATAATATAAACAAGTATTTTGTTTTAAAAACTTATTTATTCAAAAAATAACTCTTTCTTTTTTTTTTTTAGTTACACTGCAAACAAGCTCACCTTAGTAGTTTAGATAAAAATTGGGGTGGTGGATGCATTGAACATCTGAGGATGGTAAATGCGTAATTGACCAATGATGTGTTTGCTATTATTATTTGTGAGATCCTATTTAACAAAAGAGAGGGACTTCTTGAAGATTATTGATCTTAATAGTCTGCTGCCGTTTGCATAGGTAACTCTGTTTGCAGTTCACTGTGCTGGCTGCTTGTACTATCACCTTGCTGCTCGATCTCGATCCTGATGCAAGCAGGGTCAGTTCCTTCTTCTTTTCTGTATTCGTTTAAAAAATGTTGCATTGTGTGATATTTGATACATGTATCATATATATACACGCATGTATAGTTAAATTACAAAAGCGCAAAGAACTGTGTAAGAGTTTGGAGCGAAATTGAAACGACAATTTGATCTAAGTCAGAAGAGTGTATCAAGTGCAAATGTTTCTTACTGGATATTTCTTTTTCTGTGTGCAAATTATTGGACATATCGGAAACAGGACTCAGCTAGTTAGATATGATGGCCAGCATTATCATTCTATCCAAGCAGGGCCAGCCTACTTGCAACCGAATTCCCAAAAATGTAAGATTTGACTGATTTGACTGTGTAGTCACTAGTTATAGATCCAGGATACTATATCTCTTTTGGAACGAACTACATTCTCTTTTAGATTAATCATTTTATTACTAAATTTTTTTAGTGAATGGAACAGTATATTCTTGCATGTCACACTATAAAATGTCAGTATGGTTAGATTAGAATTTAGAACTTGGTGCTTTGCTTGATGCTTTTGTTGTTTTCTGTGCTCTGTTTACTTGCTAAGAAAGCATAAGAAAAGGCATACGAGGATGGGATGAAACTCTGCTTGTAGAATATTATACTAATATTATCATATTTTAGTCATCCAAACGGTTAGTTATTACAATAACTATTTTAACAAAATTCTTTAAGACTAGTTATTACAATAGCTATTTTAACATAATCCTTTTAAGGCTAGCTACATTTTAAATCCTGATAATTGAAATTAAATCATAATCCTGATAATTGAAATTAAATCATTCCTGATTTATCTTGCAAGTGTCCTTAAGAATTGGACTAGTTTGATGAACACCATTTATGTTATTGCAAGTGTCAACTGTTGTGGTTTGATGCAAATATTTGTCAATCTATTGAGTGATCATCAATTATTTATCTGGTTTAGACATGTATTTGGAATAGAGTAGTACTAGAAGAGTTCAAAATCTGCTTTGTGGAACTAGGGATTGCAAATGGTTCTAGCTAATTTTTAGGAGTTAAGTTTGTGAATATTTTGTACTTATTCCAATTACAAGATTAGGGGCTTTAAGTAAGAAATAAGAGTGAAAGATGCGACTGTAAAAGGAACTTACTGTCTATATACAAATAAATAAGGAAATTAATTGTTTCAATGAGTAATAGATAAAAAGATTATGAATAATGAATGATAGAATGCTTCCGAGCTTACAAATTAATATATATTATAGATTCACTAAAAAAACATATCAAAGCACAGAAATCATATATTTACAGTGAGTGAACATTAATTTTTTTCTTCTATGAACCAAACTTGTTGCCATTGAAGGGTGAAAAACATAAAAACAAAGGCAACTAAAAGAGAGAAAAACAAACAAATCCTAAATTTCTAGTGGAGTATTTCCTTGTTACTTTATTGGCCTGAAAGTTAATTAGAAACCTACAAGTTTTGGAATGAAAAAAACCCCAATACTTAACTTTCTAATTTTGTTCATACTAAATTAAGGGCTGACATTATTATATAGTATAGAAGCATGGAAGTATATATCGTATAGATGAAAAGAAAACCAAACATAACAAAATATAATTATGGGTTTCCTGCAACTGCATAACACAACAAAGGAAATCTTTTACCAATATATGACTTTGTTTTGAATTGAAACTTATAATCCTTTTGCTGTATAGAAATTTGGTTCAAGTTTGAAGTATATAAAATAGCTTTATACATGATGCTGGAAAGTTATCTCTATGATCATTCAAATTAGAACCTCAATTAAGAACTATTCTATAGTAGCATAAGTTAAATAGATGAGGTGAATATAAATTGATTGTGAATTGGCCAGACCCAAGTTGTGGGTCTGAGCTTGGTTTTGGCTATAAATGATGTTGCTAGATTTGTTTCTTCAAGTTTTATTTTATTTTTTCTAAAAAAACAAAGAGTGAAATTTTTGTTTATGTAATAGTAATCTTGATTGTGAAATATTTCATCAAGCTTCTTTGATCTGGCATAAACCCTTTCTCACTTTGATTTTCCTTTATACCATTCTACATATAGTTTGTTCCTAATCTTTAAAAAAATCCTCCATTTCAAATTTGTCAATGATTTATAGAATTTATGAATCGCTTTTACTAGACATTCAAAACTGGTTATGAACATTTTAATAGGGTTCTTTTCTTTGGCACATGGACTTTGTGTTTTGTTTCTCATTGATGCTTGATCTATATAAAATGTCATCCAAGTACATTTGGTGCTAATCTGTTGGAAATTCATAGCTTTCTTATAAATTAATAGTTAATGATTGTTTTATGGAGTAGTTGATTATAGAGGGCTGTTAGATTGAAAATTATAGCCCTCTAATTGTTTGTTCTAAAGCCTGAATAAAGGTAACTTGGTACAAAGGATGTATTGATATCTTTGGTTCATCAACACATCTTGATGGTCTCTGAATAATGAATTTTTTGGATTCAAACATTAGGATTCAAATTGATTGTTTACAAGCTCTGTCAAATCATATGGTTTGGACTATGAATTGGAAAACACGTGTCCATGTTCCCACATATTTTTCTACTAGTAGATGTGTTTGATAATTGAGGAATACTAGTTTCTTTTTGGCTTTTAGATCTTTTTAGATTTTAGACTATTACAAAGAGATTTCTCATTGTTGCTACCAACAGTTAATGAGTAAAGCTTAAGTTTGTTTTGTTTACTAGTCACTTGGTATCTAAGACTAGTGAAGATTACAGATTCTGATTAGTGAAGATTACAGATTCTGATTTGTGAAGTCACAATGATTATAAACTTACAATTATTATAAACTTATTACTATCTAATAGAAGCATGTTAAAATATTTTTTTTCTGAGTTTTTCTGCAGTTTCAAAGCCTTAGAAATGACTGATTTATTTAAATTGTTCTTCTAGGTACAAAACCTTCATCACGAAATGGTGAGTTGTAATGTAGATCTTATGTTTTATAACGTTGTAACATTTCTACTACTATTGATTTATGCATTTTACCTAATTTGGCTTCCATGTTTTGATGTAGGCATTCAGACCAGTGAAGATTACAGATTCTATGCTATATCAACTGGGTTCACTGAATTTAGTAACAAGGACAAGACATTAAATTAAATCAAAACTCATGGAGTTTGTCTTGATGTTTTTCTTGTTATTTTTTGACGAATCTTAAAACATGATTTGTGGATATATTATTTTGTAGTTAACAGTAATTGTATACTAAATTGAATGGGAAAGTGAATTAATGTTGTATTTGCTACTTGACAGCTTTTCATATAATTGGTTTATCTTTTGACAAATGTTCATTTGAATGGAAATGGGAATTATTGATTCATATTAGTGTTATTTTTCAATTTTATTACAGGTATTTTTTTGGTTCAACCACGTAGAATTAGCACAATTTTAAAAAAATAAATTAAAAAAAAATAAAGATATAATGGCGTTTTGAAAATGCCACTATACAGTCAACGGTAATATTTTTAAAATTCAAAAAAAGCTATGACGACGTTTTTGAAACGTCGCTAAAAATTGATATTTATGTGTCACATTTAGCGGCGTTTTTAAAACGCTGCCTATAACCATTTAACGACGTTTTTAAAGCGCCCCAATGTTATAGCGACGGCCGCATCGTCGACGTTTGGTGCTAAGCGCCACAAAAAGAATTAATGGCGTTTTTTACACCTATAACGGCATTTTTTAAACGCCGCTAAAAGCTGAATTCCTGCAGTGAGAGATAAAATTACTTCAAGAAAACCCTTACAACGCATCATCATTGCAAAACATGTATATATAACTCAAAGGAGTCCTTACCTCAAGGTTTGAAGAAGAAAAGGACATGAAGCCCTAGAAATCAAGGATTTCAAAACCAAATCTCCACCGAACACAAGGTAGCTCTTGAGGTGTTCTTTATCTTTGATGAAGGAGCTATGGGTGAATTTCAAATAGATGGGAGGAGATCAAGGGCTTTGATCTTGTTTTGAGGTAGAAATACAGAGAGAAGGGAGAGCAATATGGTTTTAGAGAGAGGGAGATATATGAAAAGTGATACACAGCCAAAAAAGAGGAGAAAAATAAAGCCCCGGGACTCAGGCCCGACTGCACGTGCAACACTTGGCCCCGCACGTGCAACTCTGATCCCCGCACGTGCGGCTCCCTCTACACCTCCCCTTCTGCACCTACATTTTAGGCAGTGTGAACCCTCCAAAAACTCACTCTTCCCCGCACGTGCAGCCCTGGCCTAGTAGCCCAAAAATTTCTGGTTCGCTTCCAAGCGCTCAGTACTCAGCCGTGCACCCCCCCAAAACAAGTGAAATTCATCACCGAATAAACAAGAACAAGAATTTATTTGAGAATAAAACTTTCGAACACTTCAAAACCCAAGAAAAGTAAAAGGAGAACGGAGCGAATAATACACCCGGTCATCATAGATAATAAAAAGGAAAAACTAAAACCAAAAAACAAACAAACAAACAAACAAAAACCAAAAAGTAGTTTTGAATAA